CAACTAAACCAACCAATCCCTAAGCACAAAAATTTCTCCCTGGGAAAACTCCACCCCCAAGAAACCCTATATAAGCCCCTCTGCCTGTTCAGTTGCGGGCTGTCCCTTTCCACCCTGGCAGAGGTAGCCAATCTCTTGGACTTCCCAAATAAATCTCTTAAAGGAGTTTCAGGTGAGGATCTTTTGCTGGTGTGAAACAGAAGAACCTTTGCTGAGACTTCCCCTTAGAGGGTCTGAGCAGAAAAAACAAAGAGGATACTTTCCTCAGATGAGCTCTTGAGGGGGCTCCAGAAAGAGGGCTCTTGGGGGGGGAAAAAAAAAAAAAAAAAAAAAAAAAAAAAAAAAAAAAAAAAAACAGAAGAAACAGTTGCATCTTCTGGGAAACTCCCTTGGGAGTGGAGCAGAAAAAGGAACTTTTCACCAGAGCTGGAGGAGATTGCTACATTTCTGCAGGGGTTTCCACTTTATCAGAGTGAAGCAGAAGTAACATCTCAGGACAGACCTAAGCAGAGCAGAAGAAATGGATAGCTCGGTGAGGACTTTCCCTTGGGGGAACTGTTCAAGCAGAGTTCAGCTATAATGGCTCTCCCTAGGAGAGAGGCAGGATTGCTGCATCCTGCAGGGAGACCATCCCCCATCCCACCTCAGCCTCCAAAGCTGTCCTATTGCAGCCCCAGCTTCCCGGAGCTGTCCCTTTGCAGCTCCAGGTATAGCCTGACTTCCTGAAAAGTCAGGATACTTTTACCTCCAGAGCTGTAACACTCACACCATTTACCTCAGAGTCATCTAGGATGTTTCCCAAAAATGCACATTGATAGATCCCCAAATGTTGTTTTACCTTCAGCATGGTGGCTGTGCCTTCATCTACCTGCTGTTTCAACCAGCAATTCTGACTCTGCGGTTATCAGGCTGCTTCTCTGGCAGCAGCCTGGCCGATCAGGCCACAGCAGCTCGGCCACGCAGCTAAAGGTAGCTATAACTTAATCTCTATCATTCTATTTATAAATAAAACTTGAGACTCAAAGGCTGGGATAAAAACCTGCTATCTCGGACAGGTGGTGTAGCAACTAGCTAACCTTCTTTCCTTGCTGGTGCTTTCCAAACGCCCATTCTTCTGCTCTGCCAAAACTGGAAAAGTCGTGCCACTCAAAACCCCGCCCTACTACTTCTGCTGTGTCTCTCTATCTCTTACAGATGCCCTCTGATGATCTATGGTTACTTTCTGTCAACTAGTTGCTAGCTCAACCTCCTGACCCAAGGTTAATCTTATTTAATTAATGCAAAAGCAAACTTTTTTTTTGATCACAGTGTGATCAAATATTCCCCTACACATGAAATCTATTGAAAGTCAATAGATTTCATGAAACTAAAATGTGAGACTTGCCGCCATTGCTATAATAATTAGTTAACAAAGACAATGAAAGTCCAGAAATCACTGTGGTAAGGCAATAGACTCTCAGAAGTGCTCAGTGGTGAGATGGAGGAAGAGTCCTGGATGCATCCACACAGAGCTTCTTTAGACACTAAGACCTAAAATGTCCAAGCCAAACCAACCAGGAAACCACTGTGTCCAGATCTGTGTTTGCACTTAGTTCACTAAGCAACTAGTAAACAATGATAGATATGTTCTTTTTTATTTATTTATTTGAGATAGGGTTTCTCTGTATTGTTTTGGAGGCTGTCCTGGAACTCCCTCTGTAGACCAGGCTGGCCTTGAACTCACAGAGATCCTCCTGCCTCTGCCTCCCAAGTGCTGGGATTAAAGGCGTGGGCCAACAACGCCCAGTGGTAGACGTGTTCTTACCAAAGAATTTTCAGTAGTGGTAACAACATCAACAACCAATTTTTTATAATCTAGTTTCAAGGGCATTTAGAACAATCTCTTCCACCATCTTGGCCCACAACAGACATATGCCTAGCAAAGGAAATGAACTGCCTAAAATTAATTGTAGGTGGTGAAGAGGAAACAGGCTGGGGTTGCCAGAGGAGTCAGAACATTGTGTGTCTAAAGTAAAGACCTTTGACAGAGACTTGGTTTTAGGCCCAGCATCGTATTTGTTTTGAAACTTGTAAAAGGTTTCAGTGCTGGAAAGATGCTAATGGAAGTGCTTTCCATGCTTGATCTAATAACCGAGAAAACAAAGTGTAACTCTCTGGCTCAGTCATTTTGTGTTCTCCAGTTAAACCTGTTTTCACTCAAAACCTGACAGCCTTCCCTTACCTTAGCAAATGAGGCAATGGAAACAGGTGGATACATAGGCTTGGCAGGATAATTCCTGGAATTTAGCTTGACACAAACATCTGATTTGATTTAAAAGGCAATGCAAAGCCACTTGAAGGATTAAGTTGAATGGGGTGACTCTATATTATTAAAGTTTTCCTCTTGGTGATTTGTGTACATTTTTTTCTCCATTTTTTAATTTAAATTAGAAACAAGATTGTTTTACATGTCAATCCTAGTTCCCTCTCCCTCCCCTCCTCCCCTGCCCCCCACTAACACACCACCTATCCCATACCATTTCTACTCCCCAGGGAGGGTGAGGCCTTCCATGGGGGTCTTCAGAGTCTGTCATATCCTTTTCCATAGGGCCTAGGCCCTCCCCCGTGTGTCTAGGCTGAGAGAGTATCCATCTATATGAAATAGGCTCCCAAAGTCCATTCCTATGCTATGGATAACCAACCCCATATCCAACAGAGGGCTGATCTCCAAAATTTACAAAGAACTCAAGAAGCTAGTTTCCAAAACACCAAATAATCCAATTAAAAAGTGGGGTACATTGACTGTGTCCTTTGCCTTACAGAAGCTTCTCAGTTTCAGGAGGTCCATTTATTAATTGTCGATCTCAGTGTCTGTGCTACTGGTGTTATGTCCAGGAAGCAGTCTCCTGTACCAATTCGTTCAAGGGTATTTCCTACTTTCTCTTCTAATAGGTTCAGTTTACACTGAGATCTTTGATCCATTTGGACTCAAGTTTTATGCATGGCAATAGACATGGATCTATCTGCAGTCTTCTTCATGCCAGCACCCAGTTATGCCAGCACCATTTGTTGAAGATGCTTTCTTTATTCCATTGTATAGCTTTGGCTTCTTTGTCAAAAATCAGGCATTCATAGGTGTGGGGGTTAATATCAGGGTTTTCAAGTCAATTCCGTTAGTCCACCTGTCTATTTTTGTGCCAATACCAAGCTGTTCTCAGGACTATAGCACTATAATAGAGCTTGAAATCAGGGATGGTGATGCCTCCGGAAGTTCTTTTATTGTACAGGGTTGTTTTGGCTATCCTGGGTGTTTTGTTTTTCCATATAAAGTTGAGAATTGTTCTTTCAAGGTCTGTGAAGAATTGTGTTGGGATTTTGTTGGGGATTGCATTGAATCTGTAGATTGCTTCTGGCAAGATTGCCAATTTTACTATGTTGATCCTACCTATCCAAGAACATGGGAGATCCTTCCATTTTCAGGTATCTTCTTTAATTTCTTTCTCTAAAAACTCAAAATTCTTATGATACAGGTCTTTCACTTTTTTGGTTAGCAAGGTAGGAGAAGATATTCACCAACCCCACATCTGACAGAGGGCTGATCTCCAAAATCTACAAAGAACTCAAGAAGCTAGTCTCCAAAACACCAAACAATCCAATTAAAAAGTGGGGTACAGAACTAAATTGACAATTCTCAATAGAAGAATCTAGAATGGCTGAAAGACACATAAGAAAGTTCAACATCCTTAGCCATCAGGGACATGCAAATCAAAATAACTCTGAGATACCATCTTACTCCTGTCAGAATGGCTAAAAATCAAAAACAGCAATGATACCTTATGCTGGAGAGGATGTGGAGAAAGAGGACCATTCCTACACTGCTAGTGGGAGTGCCAACTTGTACAACCACTTCAGAAATCAGTATGGCAATTCCTCAGGAAAATGGGAATGAGTCTACCACAAGATCCAGCAATTCCACTCTTAGGCATATACCCAAAAGAAGCACACTCACACAACAAGGACATCTGTTCAACTATGTTCATAGCAGCATTATTTGATTTTTATACATTTTTAAGGTTAAAGGTTTGTTAATCTTGTTGATTTTCTCCAACAATGAACTCTTCATTTCATTAACTCTTTGATTTATATTTTCTCTTTGATTTCAGCCCTGAGTTTCTTTTTTCTTTCTTTTTTTCTTCCCAACTAATCTTTTGGGGTGTTATTTTTTCTTGTTTTATAATAATCAACAGAAGAAAGATACTGACAACCACTCTGATTAACCCACTTAAAAGTATATCTTTTACTAGCTGGACCAAGAACAGGCTAGTGCCTTGGAGTCTCTTGGTACCTAAGCTCAGTAGTATGGAAATTGTAATAGCAAAACTCACACAGATCACAACTCACATCAAAGTTGAATGAGGGTCAGAGTAACCTTGAAATGTTCATTCTTTGCAGAGCATAGCAATTATTTCAGATACAACATGACAATTCTTTTTTTACTTACATTTTTTTCAGTTATTTTAGTTTACATTTATTGTTTTGGTTAATATATCTGGACCATGGTCAAAACCATGGAAATCAGGACAATGATTCCTAGAAGCAGAGGAGATAGGGGTTAAAGTGGCAGCCAAAGTGACAGAGTCCAAATGGAGGAGGAAGGTTATCTGCCCAATGTACCAAGCAGCCAAGACGCTCCAGGCCTGAAGAGTGAAGGACAATGGCTTACTCAGAATGAGAGGAAAGAAAAAAAAAAACACAAAAAGGAGACAATCACTTTCAGTCATATAACAACCCAGCTAAAAGATACGAGACAGAGCCCTTCGTCATACCTGTTGATGAGAAATGGAAGCATCTTGAAAACCTGGTTAAAGAATAAGTTGGTGAGGTAACATGTGAAGCTCCTAATAGATGCTGTAGGAAAGTCAATTTTGTCGAATTAAAGATGGAGGGGGCATGAGAAAGGCCGCTGAAGTTCTAAACAAGCATAGTTTGAATGGAAGACCATAGCAAGTCAAAGAAGATACCATGTGAACATGCAAGTAGAGCCACGACCTTGGCTGGAAGACTTGGAAGCCAGTATTTGTAGCAGATCTGTATTAAAAAGTTGGCTGGATGAAACTGAAGTAAGTAGCTAATGTGGCCGGTGTGGTGGTCCACGCAAACATCCTGGAAAGTAAAGATGGGAAAATCCATGGAATAAGCACTGTGACTTTTCAACAACCCACTGAAGATGTGTGAGCTGTATCTGTGTTTACTGGCCATCGCTGTTTGATATGCATCAAGATGGGTGGGAGGAGTTTTTTCCCCCCTAAGGGTAGGGGCAGTGGCCCCAGTTCCTGCATAGCATAGGGAGCCTCTGGTGCAGGCCACTGGCTCACCTGCAGGTCTAGAGACAAGACTGGTGGCCTAAGAGGCTAAAGAGCGCAGCCGCAAGGTGGGCTGGTTTGTTAAGACGTGAGAAAGCGGCAGTGTTCCGGGCACCGCTGTGGCCTTCTTGTGCCTGAACCCCTCAAGGCATGGTGCCTGGCCTGACTGGACCTCTGTCCCCCAAGCCATATCCTGCCATGGCAAGGTGGACTAGATTTATTAAAAAACAACAACAACAACAAAACAACAACAAAAAAACAGGTAAACTGATCTCTTTAAAAAAAAATAAAATCTCTGGTCTGTAAGGTCACTTCAGCTGCTTTTAAAGTGGCTTTTCTGGAATGGTGGAAAGCTGTCGCAGGCCCACAGATGGTGGACTTGGAGAAGGTCACACAAGGTTTTGGTTCTCGCCCAGGTCAGTTCATTGTGCAGTTCAATCAGCACCCGCACCGCCTCCTCCTCAGAGCCCATCTGGATCAGGGCCATCTTTCGGTCCTTCCCGAAGAACTTGAAGCCTTGAAGAACTTGCTGGAGAAGAAGTTCTTGAGGTCGTCTTCTGACACAGAGGGCGGGGTATTGGAGAGGTGGAGAGTAGCTGAGGGCAGCAAGATGTTCTGGAAGTTCTTGAAGCCCAGCTTCTTGAAGCGATGCAGTGGTGAGCTACCATAGTCCCTGGTCAGGCCCTGGTCCTCCTGTCCCTCACGAGGCAACTGCACACTCGGATGCTTTGACAGTCTGACGTGTACTGACTTCCCATGTAGCTTGTGCCCATTCAGGTGGTCCATGGCCAGCTGGGCCTGACTGCCATCTGCCATCTGGACAAGTGCATTTCCTTTCTTCTTGAACAGAATCTTGTTGAACAGAACCCACAGCACATCACCATAGACTCCGAAGAGAATAAAGAGGCTTTGGGGTGTGACTCTCTCAGGGTTCAGACCATAAGGACAGAATTTCTGGCGCCTGCCAAGCCTGGAATGGCAATGAGGCCAGCTTCAGAAGCCGCAGCAGCAGAAGGTATGGCCAGGGGGGCATGCTCCATGGACATTAGGAACAGAGAGGCCTGCAGCCTGAGGAATGGCACAGGTGGGAGGGAACCCGGCTCCTGCATACGGAGAGTCTGACTTTATGCCGGGTGCACCAAAGGCTGCAGCCATGGTCTGGTCCAGCGCAGTCTGGCTGACCCAGAGGGCAAGTTAGGGCAATGACTTGGCCCTGATCCAGATGGGCTCTGACTCTGCTCTTCTCATTGTTGTATTTGACATTAAGACTAGTGAGCTTGGAGAAGTCAATGCGCAACAGGCAGCAGGCATTGTAGATGTTCTGGTCATCCAGCGACAGTTTGGCATGTTGGGCGCTCACAGGGTCAGCATACTGCAGCAGTACCTGGAACCGGTTATTCTTGGTGAATGTGAGTTTGGACTGTGCCAAACTTAGAGAAGATCTGGTACAGAACATCCAGGGTCACTGGGTAGAAGGGGATGGGGACAAGAACCCCTGACCAAAATGGGAGCCTGGGGCAGGTGGGAAGAGAGGAAAGAGGTGGGAGGCAAGAAAGAGAGGGGGGAGGAGAACAAGAGGACTGAGACAGGGTATGAATAGAGGAGGGCAAGAAAGGAGATGTCTTGATAGAGGGAGACAGTACAGGTTTGGAGAGAGGTGGCACAGGGGAAATATTAGGGGATTCACAGGGATGACCCCAACTAAGAAGACAGGCAGCAGTAAGGAGGATGCCATTGATGCCCTTCCCCTATAATGACATTGACGTCTACCTTGGTTACCATTCCTAGAGCCTTCATCCAGTAGCTGCTCAAAGCAGAAACAGGCACCACAGCTAAGCACTGAACTATACTATTGGAAACCAGTTGTGGAGAGGGAGGAGGGATGAGCGAAGGAGCCAAGATAGGACTGAAGAGACCTTCAGAAACAGTGGACCTGACCTACTGATAGCATGGAGATCCTAGTCATAAAGCTGGGGAAAGAGCATTGGACCAAACCAAGCCCTCTGAATGTGGGTGCCAGCTAGGAGGCCAAGGCAGTCTATGGGACCTCTAACAGTGGAGCCAGTGTTTATCCCTAGAGCACAAATGGAATTTGGGAGCCCATTCCCTATGGAGGGATACTATTGCAGCCCAGATACAGCAAGGAGAGGCTAGGCCCTATGGGGGATGGATATGTAAATATGAGTAGTAATTAAAGAATAAATAAATAAATAAATAAATAAATAAATAAAAAGTTAGACTAAGATGGGTTTTTTTGTTTGTTTGTTTGTTTGTTTTTGTTAAAAAGCTTGGAAGAAAAAAAAAACCAAGAAGATAATATAAAGTTTTAGAAAGGCACATAGTTGAATGTGAATCTTGTTATGGTCTGGGAACCAGAACAAAGCAACCCAATTATTATTAGTTGAAGTGCCTTTCTTGCAAGCATTGGTTGATGACCAAAGGTGATTATTAATTCCTTATACCCATTTCTGCCTCAATCTCATGATACAAAAACTATTGATGAGTGGGTATGTACCCTAAAGGTTTAAAGTAGAGCTGACTATTTTTCATCTGTTAATATTTAGGTTTGTGATTCCTTTTAAGATTACCTTTCAAGATAAGTAATAAAGTGATAGGTATTTTCTTTGTAACTGCAAAGTGCACCTGCCAGTAAAAGAACTGACTGAGAAGAATACCTTGCTTGATCACACAGTCAACCTCAGACAAGTCGCTTGGGCATGAATGTATATAGGTTCTTGGGATAATTTGTTTTTCACCTGTAATTTGTAAAATGTTTAATCATGTGAGTGATATGGAAAACATGCTGGTTTTTTTCTGCTTGTTTTGTATTCATTCACTTGAAAAACAGGGAAAATCACATTGTAATCCCTATATTACCTGAAAAACTTGGTTGGGGTATATAATCTGTAGAAAAAAAAATACACTGTAGAAAGAATACAGAAGAATAGAGAAGGAACTATCAAGAGAGACTGTGTGTCTTTTTCCCTAACCCCTTCATATAGAAAAGTCTAGTATGCTCCGATTTGGTGGCTTCCCTTTGAGCCCTGAATTGCTGGAGGTTGGTCCCTCAGGCAGCAAAATGAGACCTCAAAGCCTGCCTCCATAACACATTTTCTTCAACAAGATCACACCCACTCCAAGAAGACCACACCTCCTAATAGTGCCACTCCCTTTGGGGACCATTTTCTTTCAAGACACCACACAGAGACAATAAGAGATTGACGTTTGAATCAATGTAAATGCTTAAGCAGTTGGCTTTTATAAACATCAATACCCAACCTCTGAACTTGTAGTTTTTCTTGTTAACTATTTGAATTTCATTGAGGTTGCAATGTGCACTATTTTTATTTTTGTGTTGTGGTATCTTATTAGTAACAAATATGACTTTGATAATAAAAGTTCCTGGGAAAAGGAGAATCTCAAATGTGTTGCCAAGGGAGAATTAACCGTTAGGGAAGGAGGTAGAGGACGGAGAACTATCTTAAGCAAGCACAAAATGGAGTCAGAACAAGACTGAGTTACTTCTGTTTTTCAAGAGTTTTCAAGTATATCATTAAGAGTTTTTAATGTGAGCTCTCCAGTTTGTTGGACTTAGTGTTATGAATTTGCCTCTTAGAACTGTTATATTTTTATTTTCACTCAGTTCTAAAAGTTTTCAGTTTCCTTCTTGATTTCTGTCTTTACCCAATTTTTATTCATTATTGAACTAATTACCTTTCATAAGTTTTCAAGCTATCTGCCATTTCTATTGCTGTTGATATCCTGTTTTAATCCATCATGGACAAATAGGTTATTTCAGGGTGTTGTTCAACTTTCCTACCTCTGTTCATATTTGCTTTGCGACCTCATATGTTGTCAATTTTAGAGAAAGTTCCATGGTTTTCTGAAAAGAAAGTGTATACTTTAGTGTTCGAGTGGAATGTTCTGTAGCTGTCTGCTAGATTAATTTGGATTTATGATGTTATTTAATACAGAATTTCTCTGGATAACCTGTCTATTGGTGGGAGTCATGTACTGAAGTCTCAAACTATCACTGGGTCAGGGTCAATATGTGATTTTAGCTGTAGTTGTGTATCTTTTATGAACTTGAATGATGTTGCAGAGTATTTGTTTAACTATGTAAAGATGTGTTCCATTTGTTTAATTATGTAAAGATGTGCTGCTATTTCACCTTGTCTGCCTAAGGCACCTAATTGGTCTTTAAAAAAAAAAAAAAAAAAGCTAAACAGCCAGTAGTGAGAGAGGAGGCATAAGGGAATGTCTGGCAGGAAGAGTAAGTAGGAGGAAGAATTTAGGCTTGAGAAGAAAGAAAAAGAGACACCAGGGGAAAGACACAGAGAAAGCAGGAAAGTAGGATGTACAAAATGAAAGAAAGGTATAAAGCTCCAAGACAAAATTTTAATGAATAGAAACAGGTTAAATTAAGTTAAAAGAGCTAATGGGACAATCCTAAGCTAAGGCCAAGCATTCATAATCAATAGTAAGTCTCTGTGTCTTTACTTGGGAGCTAGTTGACAGCCCAAAGAAAATTCCAACTACAAATACTAAATATTTAGAATTATAATATCCCATTGGTGGATTTTTCCATTACTGAGTATGTAATGTTCTTTCCTGTCTCTTGTCATGAGTTTTAGTTCAAAATCTCTTTTGTCAGATATTAAAATAGCTATGTCCACTTGTTTGTTGGTTCCATTTGCTTGGAGTTCCTTTTTTCCTAAGATAATGTCTGTACTTTATGGTGAAGTGTGTTTCTTGGGTGCAGAAAAAAGATGGATCCTGTTCTATTCCTGTCTATTACTCTGTGATGTGAACAAAGGGTCCCCCTAGTTCTTCCTTGTGGCCCTATTCAGCCAACCCTTGCAATATATTACCATTTATTTGGGCCTGGATGGATGT